CCCCAAAGAAACAACTGCGTATAGACTGCTGCTTTCTTATTTATTTGAAATGAGATATTTCAGTGTTCTTTCTCCTGCCATGCAGTCTCTCCTCCTCCATTTCCGTGACAACTCGGGCAGAGAGGCAGGAGTTGCAGCCACCAAGATGGTTGCAGTGGACAACGCCTCAGCTCCTGCGTGACTCCACATGGACTTGTGAAGGAAGGGGGATGGGGCAGGGAGCTAATGTCTGCCTGGCTGTGCTGGGAGTCATGTGGCCACACTGGGGATCTAGGGATCTGCCGCGCAGGTGGTTCTTTTCAGCACAGTAAATAGATTTGATGTCAGAGTTTTCATTACCTCTCTTCTCTGCTGTTTCTCCTTTCTCTTTCCAGTCTCTCAATCAGGAAACCATGATCACTTGTCTCCCTTCCTGCCGTTTTCCCCTCCCTAGGGGAGTGAGGTTGTCTGATATCCAGCTTCTCTCCCTGTCTAATTCCTGTCTGCTGTCAGATGAATCCATTCCTTTTTTAAACAGAAGTGAGACTGAGGAGTGTATTTTTTTTTTTTTAACTGGGTTTTGGAACGACCTCCTGTCTTTATTTACTTCTGAGGAAGCCTTATTTACCTCTTTATCTTTATGTACCTTTTAGAAATCAAAAGGAGGGGAGGTGGATCACTGTATTTCAGCACGTACAACTTAATTACAAGGATTTCAGGCCCATTTGGGCAAGTAAGTTTCTGCACCTCTGTTGTGTGCTACTATATTTTTTTTTCTTGCTCTCAGTTTCTTTTTGTCTTTTCTCCTTTCCTTTTCATTTCCTCTTGTCTCTCTACTGCTGGTCTTCTTTAATCTTTCCTTTTCTCGGAGTACCCTTCCAGACTTTTGTAATAAATTTATATTTTGCAAAAGAATTTTCTTGTGTCAGTTTTTGCATCCTCACTGAGTCTGATAGCTTTTATTTTTCTGTCCCAAATCAGATTTTTATTCTCAAATTCTTCCAGTCACTGTTTTGGCACTATCAATGTAAAATGTGCAAATGATTCTTGCTAACCAACACCAGACATATCTGATGTTCAGATGATTTCTCATAAAAACTTTTTTTTTCAAAATAAATGAATAAACATAGCAATGAAATAGAATTTAGAACTTAGAGGCCAGAAATAAACTGACACTGAGACAGATAATCTATGATAAAGGAGTCAAGAATATAAAATGGAGAAAGGAAAGTCTCTTTGCCACATGCAAACAAGTAAAACTAAACCATTCTCTCACATCTAACACAAAAATTAACTCAAAATGGAGCAAAGTAGTACCTGAAACCATAAAATATATAGAAAGAAATATTGGTAAGACACTCTACAATACTGGCTTCAGGAATGTCTTTGGGGACTTGACTCCAACAGTGAAGAAAATAAAAGCAAATATTCAAATGGGACTACAACAAACCTGAAAGCTTCTGCACAGCAAAAGAAACTCTCATTAAAGTGAAAAGACACCCAATCAGGTGAGAGAAGATATTTTCACATCATACATTTGAAAAGGAGCTAATATCCAAAAATCTACAAAAAATTTTACCCAAGGAAAAAGAATACACAAATCCCAATTAAAAAAAAAAAATGAACAAAAATGCTAAGCAGATACCCCTCCAAAGAAAACATATGTTCATCATCACTGGTCATCAGGAAAGTGCAAATCAAAACCATAATGAGATACCAATTCACACCTGTTGTTAGAGGGAAAGGATGTCCTGAGTTAATCCCATACAGGCTTTGTGGACCCCACCCCCACTCCAGACTAAAGTCATCAGGACATTGGAAAAGACAAATCCCATCACCACCAAAGGGAAGGTGGCTGGGACCTGAAGGTGGAGTTGGGCAGCCAGGATATAAAAACAAAACACGTGGGCCTTGGGGGGCTCACTGTGGCTCGCCTCCTGGCTTCACCGCTCCTGGCTGGCGGCCAGCTCTCAGAGTGCCATTTGGGATTCCTGATTGGCGGATCGGGTAGGACTCATTTAAAACTTTGTCTCCTACTTTTCTCCCTGAGCTGTACATTTCCTCATTTCCCCTTCCCTTGTAAATAAACCTTTTATTAACCTTTCGCGCGTGCCTGCAGTAGAGCATTGATAAGTCCTTTTAAGCCCGCGGGTGAGGACCCACAGTCAGGCACCCCGTTTTGTATCAGGGTTGCTCTACAACACTGTGACAATGGCTCATATCAAAAAGATCAGAACAAAAACACATGTTGGTGGAGAAAAAGGAACATTCACATATTGTTAGTTGAAATGTAGACTGACCCAACCCATATGCAAAAGAGCATGGAGGTTTCTCAAAATACAAAAATTGTTCTACCATGTTGTAGGGTAAAGAAAATGTCAGGCTTTTCTGCCCTTCCGCCATCAGGATAGATGATGGATCCTTGTCCTGAATGCATGCCTGATGGCGGGCACCTGGAATAGGGTGTGGGCATAGGTAGATGGGATTCAGCTGAGCTAAGACTGTGCTTTTTAAGGGCGGCGTCACGGGGGGACGCTAGCAGCCCCAGCCAGCAGCAGCAGAACCTGAAGGAGAAGCCGAAGCAGAAGCAGAGAACGCCAGAGAGCCCAGATAGAGTGAAGACTTGCTGGGGGCTGGGAGGCCTGCCAGCCTCCCAGTCCCCCAGCCAGCACCCCTGCCTGCCATATGCCTGGTGAACCCCAAATAAAAGACCTGCAAAACCACTGAGGACTCTGACTCCTCCTTTACCCGGTCTGCATGGGATCAGAAAACCTGCACTGTATCCAGTCCTGCCCTTACAATTGGCGTAGTCGGCAGGATCCATGCAGACGGGTATTGGAGCCCTCCGAAGACCTGGAGGGACTAAGGAGTAAAAGACTGCCTGTGACGACGCTGGAGGCGCCATGGCGGTACAGAAGATGGATACGTCCACGAGCTACAGGATGAGACCTGGCGTGAAGGAGACGCCCGAAAGGACCAGCCAACGACACCGGAAAGGACCAGCCAACGACACCGGATAGGACCAGCCAACGACACCGGAAAGGACCAGCCAATGACCCCTGAGGCAGCAGGCCATTGCTGAAGCAGGGAAAGGCCAATGGACTGATAGACTGATGAACTGATGATTTTGGACTGACAATCCTGCCAGAAGGCGGAGGACCTTAGCAGGTTATGTTTATTTTTTGAAAATCTGGGGGTGGCCAGTGGGCCTAGATGGCCAAAAGCAGCCTGTGTATGCCCAGTGGCCAGGTGGAGGAAAAAAGCCAACTAAAAAAGCAAAAGCTGGTACTGATGATAAGTTGAGAAGCCCTGAGCGGCTGTTAAGCAGCCTGGGTATGCTGAAGAACTGTGAGTCTCATAAAATCACCTGTGGGTGATGCCCTGCTCATTCTTGAGTGAGGGTGAGGAGCTGAGGAGCCCGTCCTTGGGGGACGGGTGGGGAATGTGGCTTGGGGTGGAGCCCAAGCCAAATGCAAAGTTTGGATCCCCAACCCATGTGCTTGTGCAGTGGGTTGGCTTGAGAGCAGGGGTCTGTGAGTCGCATGGGTGGCCATGAAGGCCGAGTGTTGGAGCGACTGCAGACAGAAACCCTGAGGGTTGGCGATTACCCCCAACAAAATAAAATTGCCAATCCCAGAGCTAGTGCATCCTGGGGGTGGATGCTGTGTGTGCCTTGTAGCAGAGACTACAGCCAGAGAAGGCCAGGAAGCCTGACGGCTCCTGGTGTGTTATAGCAGATGCCGTGTGTGATTTCCCCTCCCTCGTATGAGCAGTGCCTTCGGCAGCAGATTTGGTGGCTCATCTGCTGGTACCAATAATTGTCTTTTGCACTTGGTTGGTGCCCTGCCTGGACTTATTTGTGTTCTGTTATATTTTGTTATGTTGTATTTTGTTATTTAATGTATTTGCTTTTGTGGGCCATGGCTGCATTGTTTGTTTGCTTAGAAAATTGTATATATATGTATAGACTATATGGCAGAAAACCCTGAGGGGGTGGACTGTAGGGTAAAGAAAATGTCAGGCTTTTCTGCCCTTCCGCCATCAGGATAGATGATGGATCCTTGTCCTGAATGCATGCCTGATGGCGGGCACCTGGAATAGGGTGTGGGCATAGGTAGATGGGATTCAGCTGAGCTAAGACTGTGCTTTTTAAGGGCGGCGTCACGGGGGGACGCTAGCAGCCCCAGCCAGCAGCAGCAGAACCTGAAGGAGAAGCCGAAGCAGAAGCAGAGAACGCCAGAGAGCCCAGATAGAGTGAAGACTTGCTGGGGGCTGGGAGGCCTGCCAGCCTCCCAGTCCCCCAGCCAGCACCCCTGCCTGCCATATGCCTGGTGAACCCCAAATAAAAGACCTGCAAAACCACTGAGGACTCTGACTCCTCCTTTACCCGGTCTGCATGGGATCAGAAAACCTGCACTGTATCCAGTCCTGCCCTTACACATGTGTTCTAGCAATTCCACTTCTAGATATCTACCCAAAGAATTATGAAAACTGAAGTTATATATGCAGCATTATGTTCATTTCAGTACTATTTATAGTAGCTAAGGTATAGAGTCAACTTAAGTACTAAGGTATAGAGTCAACCTAAGTACTCAAGGGCAGATGAGCTGATTAAGAAAATATGATACAAATACATAATGCAAAACCATTCAGCTATAAAAAAAAAGATGAAATCTTGTCATTTGTGACAACATGGATGGAACTGGAGGGGATTAGGCTAAGTGAAATAAGAAGAAAAGGCAAATACAGGATTTCATCCATATGTGGCATATAGGAAAAACAAAATAAAGGAACAGACAAAACAAAACAAAAACCTAGAAATCTGATGGTAGAATTGAGAGCAACAAGGGAAGGAGAAAGGTGTGGACCAGTGGACTGTGGTGGAGACGAGGGGTGTCTTTGTGGTGGTGTGCTGTGTAACACACATCTGAAGAGGGTGATGCAATACCTCTGAATTGTATACAGTGTTTAAACCAATTTTAACTAAATAAAAAAAATACCAAAAAATGCGGTGTGCCTGAGATCCTCAGTTTATTATGTAGCAAGAAAACATACAATCGAATAGGAAATTTGAAAGACTTCTTATTGCTGTAGAGAACATATAGGAGTATATCTGAGATTTTGAAGGATTGCAGTGTGGAATAGGTATCACACAGAAAAGCATTTAATTATAGCTGGATCAAAGGACTTCTAAATCTCTTGCTGTGCCCTTGTTTGGTTTGCATTAATATCACTACAATAGGAAATGCTGAGTTCTGTTTTTAACAGTCTTTAGGAAATCCATGATATTGGTGCCTCCAGTGCCCCTATTTTCTGCTGCTTCTGACTCTTCTGCTGTTTGGTTTTTCTGAGACTGCTGGCGTGCAGGGGTCACGATGTACTTACACACTATAGCCAAATGGTAGTTTCTTAAGGCAACCATGGCACTCACACACTTATTATAACAGTCCTTAAGGTTAGCATCATTTTTTGACTTGATAAATTCACGAACTGAGGGCTCTGACTCTAATGATCGAAGAAAGTTCCTGTGAGCTGGTGGCATGTATGTTCTCATGTCCTGGAGGAATTTAGAAGATTCTAAAAGAACATGAGAAAGATGAGTTAATAGAGAGGCCAAGCATCTCCCCAGTCCAGAGGAGAAGGGCAGAGTGAGGGCATAGTGAGTGGGCAGTAACAGGTCTACATAGCATACATAACAATATAACATGAGGCCATGAGTTCACAACTATCCTATTAGAAGGCTATTAGTCTTATTGTTAGTAAAGAGAATTTTAAAATACAATTACTTTTGAAAGCCAGATGAGTGACTCTTTTGTAGTAAATTTTTTTTTTTGCCTCATTTCTTATTTTCCTACTGTATTTGTCCTTCTAGGAATCTAATTATACAGACAGAGTATATAATATAATCTATACTTAACAAATCAGGACACTGAGTCAAAAAGAGTTTAAGATATTTTTAAATAAGTGACAACTATGAAGCAAGCATATTTTCATCCAGCTAGAAGTTCCCGCCTTTGACTGTGCAATATATAAGTTTAAGAAAACAGAAAAGTAAAAAGAAGTTTCTTCCTCTGGCCCCTCTAAACCTTTTGAAGGAGCCAATGACAGTGGTTAGGCTTTAAGCCTTGGTGCCAGCACTGACCCTGGGCCGCTGGGGCAGCAGGATGGCTTAACCAGAACAATATCAAGTCTCTCATCATCATTAAGGGCTCTACCTTCCCAACTTCAGCTCATAGTCCTATCTCATTTGCAGGTGATTTTTTTCTGAATCTGATCGTATATTTCAGAACATGTGATATTGGCTTCAGTCAGGTCTTATGTACACACTCATATGCCCAGATCACGAGGGTGACAAACTTTGAGTTTTGGCTTCAGTGTTTTCTAGCTGGTTAACAGTCACTTAATCTCCTTAAGTTTTTGTTTCTTTATCTGTAAAATGGGATGATGGCAACATAATCAAGTCTCTAATTATTCTCCTAAGCATGAGATAAGATAAAGGGAGGTATTGAGGTGAAGGTACTTTTTAGAAATTAAAATGCTATTGTATTAACACAGGTGATGATGATTGTCATTTCCACTCACCTCCATCTTGATGCTGAATGCCCAGAAGAACATCAAAGCACTGAAAGAGGCTGCTTTGGGCTGCACTGCCGCCTGCATATGCCTGAGGGGTGTCCCAGACTCCCTCATACAGCAGACCCTCTGGCATCTGGGAGTTGCCTTTCCAACTAGGTCAGAAAGGAATGAATAATCATTATTGGGATTAACAGTCAAATTTCAGATATAAATTCTTACCAATAAGAATGAATGTAAGGTAACATGAAATAGACATTTTTTTTGTTATTTTTTTTATTGCTCTTCTTCCATACCACCCTTTCCACTAATTTTTATGCATGAAAACAATAAATAAAATGGTTCTGAGCAAAGTTGGCATATGTGTTCTATGAATGAAACCTTAGCAAAGATCATTCCACTCTCTTTAAAAATGATTAGCACTAAATACATAGTGTATTTTAGTCTAGTGTATTAAGGATATAATTTGTTTCTAAACCTGATGGATAGTGGGGAACTTGGAGGGAATTTGATGTGTTCCTTAAATTAATTGTCTGAAAGAAAATGAATTCAAGGCAGATATTACATACCCAGCCAAGTATATACGAAGAACATTGAAAAAGTCATTTGGGTCCACATGTACTGTAAAAAGATGAGATGGATTTTATTAAGCAGCATCATAGCTAGAAGGTGGAAACAAAATACTTTAAACAACTGATGGTGAATTTTAGCATAGGCTGCAGGAAGAACATTAGGTCAATCTGTGCAAGAATGGAAAAGCATTAACTCTCCTGCCCTCTCCCAGAGGAACTCCACTCAACTACTGTGTCCACCAAATAGGGTCTACCTTAGAGCTAACAGCTTGGGTTGAAGAATCTGTGTCCACATGCCACTTATTGTCAGCAGGTTAATTAAGTCATCATCATTTCTTTAAGTCTACATCATGTGCTTATTGATATAACAAAAACAACTTACATAAAGAAGCAAGCCCAAACAAAAATGAAAACAGAAAGAGAAAACCCAGTAGCATTATAAATCACATCCCTGGGATTTGTTTCCCAAAGCTTGTTAATAATGTCTTTATTTGAAAGTCAATCTTCTTGCCAAGGACAAGTCAGCAGTGACTCAAAGCCCAGCATGAAAGTCACATACCCTATTTAGGTTGTTCAGTAGGACAAATTTACTTTTGCAAACCCTTATTATTTCCTTTTTTGGTTATTGTTGTTTTCTAGCTGTTAAGTTTGCTATAACTTCTGAGCTCAATGGCTTTTGTATGATGTTTCTTAGTTAACTTGTGAAAGAAGAATTTATATGTGTATCTAACAAAAACTATGTTTTTCAAGGACTCAAAACAATTTACACAGTTGGCAAGTTTCTCCGTGATTTCTAGTGGGAACCAAGGACATTTCTTAGAGTTAAATAACTAGTTTGGAATTCTGACATCTCTGTGTACCACCTATGTAACTGTAGGTCATTTATCTTATCTTATGCAAATTTAGGTTCTCATATTTATAAAATGGATAAAATGATCTTACCTTGTGGAAAGCATGATTCAGTGATAAATGTAATAATATTATATGCTTCTCTCTTGTAAACAAATCCACACCTTACATAATCAGAAGCATTTGATGGTCTGCCTATAATACCACGTGGCTAACAATACTTGCCATGAATTTGCTTAAACGTTTCAAGGGCTTTGTCCAGACAAGAAGCTACATCACATAGAGCCTTTTGTAAAGTTTCACAGTCCTCCTGTTGCAGTGCATGGTATATAGTGGGAATTACCTTAAAAAAAAAAAAAACACAAGATTTCCTCTCACTTAGCATTGTCATAAAATAAAGTTCTCCTAAGTCTTAATGCCTGAACTAAATTTAGTCTTTCCATCTATGAGTAATCTCTAATTGTTTGACTAATTGCCTGATATTTAATCAAACTTGGATTTGTTTTATTTATTTACGTATGTTTATATAGTTTTATGTATTTATATTTCTAATGGTCAGAACCACTATATATCTCATTATGTGATATAATAATAAAGTATATTGAACATATTTCTCTTTTATTGAGATTTCACATTAGGTTCTAAATATATGGCTCCAACATTTTATATTTTAGGTGATACACAAAAATAAATAAAATATTTATTTTTAGCAAATGACCCACTACATCTAATTAAATCAGTGCTGTATATAGTCAGGATAACTTTTTTTCCTTGCTTAATATAACAGTTAGTTATTAAATGATTGCTCTGCTTACATGAAACAAGAGACAGATTTTACACTATCAATAGACATACTTTGATTGCAGGAACAGCTGCTATTTCCACCAAGAGGGAAACCAAGAAGAATCCTTTACTGCAATCCCCACCAGGAAACGAGAACAGAATGTCCATATTCCTAAGAAAATCAGAAAATGAAGTCAGGAATGTAGCCAAAATATTGGCATATTTGTTGAGTACTTTCTGGTTTTCCAGCATTTTAAAAAAAGATTTATTTATTTATGCATACAAGAACTGGGGTAAAGGGCAGAGGTGTATGTGGGGGGCTTGGTGGTGAGAGGACTCACCAGAGACAGAGTGGGAAACAGAACAGGAAGATGGACTGAAATACACCGCTGAGGGGTGCAGTGAGTAAGTCAGGAGAGGTCTGCTGCGCCATGTGGGTTGCTCCCTGGACGGTCAGGGATTGAACTCATGCTGCAGTGGCTGTGGAAAGCCCTATAGGCTGCACCCTAACCCCCCATGCCACCAGGGAGCCCCCAAGAATTTTTTTTAAAGATTTATTTATTTATTTATACAAGAACCAGGGTACAGGCCAGATCCGTGGGAGGATGACAGGATTCACTGGAGTCAGAGTGGGGAACAGAACAGGCAGATGGACGAAAGACGCTGCTGAGGGGTGCAGCGGGTGAGACAGGAGAGGTCTGCTTCGCTGTGTGGGAACCTCGCTGGCCTGCAGGGATCGAACCAGCTGCAGAGGATGCGGACAGCTTCACAGCGCTGCGCTCAACCACCTGCGCCACCAGGGCAGGCCCTCCCAAGCATTTTTAATCCTGTTTATTTTCAAAATCATTTTGTGGGACAAGTAAACTACCACCATTAAGTCATTAGGGATATTGATATTAGCAAGATATTGAAGATATCGAAAAACTATGTTATTTTTAAAATTTCTTAAGTAGGCATCACAACACTTTAGGGCATTTTAAGTGAAATAAAGATTAAATATGCAAGGGACGGGCCTCCCGGTGGCGCAGCGGTTGAGCGCTGGGTTGCGAAGCTGCCCGCGGCCCCTGCGGCGTCGGTTCGATCCCCGGCTGCTCCCTGGCCACCGGAGGAGGGTCCCACATGGCGCACAGACCTCTCCTGCCGCCCGCTGCTCCCCTCAGCAGTGTACTTAGGTCCTTCTGCCTGCTCTGCTCCCCACACTGGCTCTGGTGAATTCTCTCACCCTCCCGCGCCTCTGCCTGTACCCAGTGCATGTATAAATAAACAAACAAATAAATAAAAAAATACACGCCTCTTTAAAAAAAAAAATATGCAAGGGACACATATGGACGCATCAGTTGTCTAATACCATATAATTAGTAGTAGATTAAGTTGGGACCTAAAATTCCATTGTAGAACTTGGTTCTAGAATTCCGTTCCAGAACTTAGACTATTACTGCTTCCATTATCTCATTTTTTCATACACATATAGAAATTTTTACAGATATTTGTAAAGTAAAGTTGTTTGCTGAACAAATGCATTCATTGGCCTCTCTGGTGGCCTAGAGGTTAAGTCTCAGTTCTACCACCGCGAAGGCCCACTTTGACAGCCTGAATTCATCTCCAGGCAGGGAGCTACCTCTGTTACGGCGGATCTCTCTTGTTTTACCTGCTGCTCCCCTCAGCAGTGTATTTCAGTCAATCTGCCTGTTCTATTCCCCATTCTGTCTCTGGTGAATCCTCTCACCCCCCACATCTCTGGCCTGCAACCCAGTACTATGCAAAAATAAATAAATAATCTTTGAAAAAAAAGTAAATGCATTCATATACATATTTTTATCCGTGAACTTGAATCAATTTCAGGGATTTATATATGCCTCATATCGGAATTCTCTGGAAAGTTCAAATGAATGATTAAATCTAATTTTTTAAAAATTGAAGCTTTGCATTGATGTAAACACAGTCACAATATCAGAATATGAGTTTCATGGTTACTGAATTCATGGTCTCTAAAGTCAGAAAACTGCAGCTTATTTGCTGTATGAAGATATTTGAGCAAGATATTTAACTGTTTCTGCTTCAATGATCTTAACTGTAAAGTGGGATATAATGTTTCCATTTAATAATCTTCCACTTATTTTAAGAAACTGTTTAAAACCCTTTCTTAGTGAAATGTCCTAAATAACCTTTGGTTAAGTTTATTTCTCCATCCCTTTTCCATACTGTTACTTTCATCACTCATGATTGACCAGCTTCCTTAGAGAACTGAAGACACCAAAACTTTTGTCATTTCAAGGTCTTTTTTACTTGTTGCTTCCTCACTATGTATACTCTTTTATTTTCCTTCTAGCTAATTCCTACTCATTCTTCAGGACTCAGGTTAAATCGCATGCTGCAAGACTTCCTTCCTCTGTCCCTTTTCTTTGGTTAGAGCACCAGTTACCTTATCTTCTTACCCCTCCTCTAAATCATACAGTGACTCACATAATTTTATATATTTCTTTCCTCCTCCTCTGTAAACTTCACCAGGGAAAATTTATAGCTATGATATTTACCTTTGTTCCCCAACTGTTTATACTCTGTTTAAAATATAACCCAAGAATAATAAGGTCAAAAAGAACAGATTTATGTTTTCACCACTGAGTTGATTAAGTCATAAATACATACATGTATATGCATTTGTGTTTATGTATATTAATTATACTTACATATATGCAAGTACATTTTTTGTGAGATTAGCTATAACTTTAAGGAGCCACAGTCATGTCACAATGATAGGTGTAATTAAGGACTGGGTTTATGTGCTCTTTAAAGAGTTTAAATTGCTTTATGCCTGAATTCAATAGATCATTTAAAAATGCATTTAGATGATACTGAAAAGCCCACATTCACTTTGAATAGCAAATACTTCTTAGAATAAAACAAAGATCAAAATAGATGAAATACTTACTCGTAAGTCATTGGTCTTAGGAAACAACAACGAAGCAATCAAACAATGAAAGAGAGAAGAAAACTAAGTTAAAAATCAAATAGTTATAATATTACTTAGATTGCTTTGAATTCTACTGATCTATCTAAGGCAAGATATTGAAAATAAATAGACTATGTTTTTTTTTAATTTATCAAGCAAGCATCACTAACAATTTAGGACATCTTACGTGAAATAAAGATTAAAAATACAAGGGACACATGCATAATGGAACTAGTTGTTACTAATAATTACTATCACTACTAATAAATAAAATACTTTCATTTTGCTGTATTACCATGTCTATTAGACTCCTCTGCAGACACATACCCAGAGCCCCATGGCACGGCAATTCTCTTATCCATTTATTGCATCAGAATCCATTGCTAAATGTTTAAGAGTGGACTAGATTCTGAACTAAAAGCCAGTTCAGATCCCTACTACTGAAGATGAGTCAAATTAAACTCAATTAGACGCTTAAATATTAAAATCATAGATTTCCAAAACATGTTAATCAGAGAAGCCAGATGACTACATAATCTACAATTTCATTAATATGAAATCCAATAACTGAAATACCTCATTTTAATAAGACAAACCAGAATATATTTGCCTGGGCAGGTAGGGAGGGAACTGAATGAGAAGAGGCACAAAGCAATTTTTTTGTGTGGTAGAAATATTCTGTATGTTGCTTGGAGTTAACGTGTATATATGACAGTAAAATTCATCAGACTGAACAATTAAGTTTTGTGCATTTCCTTGCATTTAATTGTACACCTCTCTTACACGAAAAATACTTTTGTAGTTATAGATACATGAGGTAAAGAAATAATACCCTTATAACAAAGAACAACAGAGAAGAAAGGTGTGCTTCCAAAAATCAAACAAGGGGCCTCCCTGGTGGCACAGGCGATTGAGTGCTGTGCTGTGAAGCTGTTCACGGCCTCTGCAATGCGGGTTCGATCCCGGCTGGCCAGCGAGAATCCCACATCGCGAAGCAGACCTCTCCTGTCTCACCTGCTGCTCCCCTCAGCAGTGTTTCGTCAGTCTGCTGTTCTGTTCCCGCTCTGTCTCCTGGTGAATCCTCTCACCCTCCCGCACATCTAGCCTGTACCCTGGTTCTTGTATAAAAATAAATAAATCTTTAAAGAAAAACAAAAACAAAAAAAACCACAAAATCAAACCAATGACTAACTCTTTGGATTTAAACAGCATACATTCATTTAATTCCTATCATATTGCTGTTTACATACCCATTGGGATCCTTTTTCTTCCAGTTTGCCAAGACACAGTCAGCATAAATCAGAATAGGAGGCATTCCCAATTTCTCCGAAAGCTTGCAGTAAGGAACAGCAATATTGCGTGGGAGAATCTAATTAAAAGACAATGTTTGCTATTAACCTTTTCGCCTGTTTTCCATGTGTCAAAGCATTAGATGTCCAATATGATGGCACTATGGACTAAACAAATTGTTAAATGTTCACATTTTAGATTTCTGTTAATGTGAACATATCTGTTTATAAAGAGAAAACAGAGGTAGAGGTCCAGAGGGAAAAAGGTTATGAATGTTAACTTTCTAATAATCGGTGAGTTATTTCCAGCCAATCATTCATCCATCCATCCCATGTATAACTGTTAAGAAAGTCCTCTATGCCAGGTACTCTATTTAGTAGCAATAAAAAGAAAAAAAAAGAAAAAAAAAAACAAAAACTGGTCATTTCTAAAAAAAAAAAAAAAAAAAAAACAAAGTCCTTTGTAATTAAGACTTGAGTATGAGGGCCTCCCCAGTGGCACAGCAGTTGAGAGCTGGGTTGCGAAGCTGCCCGCAGCCTCTGCTGCACTGTTCGATCCCCTGCTGCTCCCCGGCCACCGGAGGAGGGTCCCACATGGCACGCAGACCTCTCCTGCCACCCCCTGCTCCCCTCAGCAGTGTACTTCGGTCCTTCTGCCTGCTCTGCTCCCCGCTCTGCTCCCTGCTCTGGCTCTGGTGAATTCTCTCACCCTCCCGCACTTCTGACTGTACCCAGTGCTTATAAAAATAAATCTTAAAAAAAAAAAGACTTTTGAGTATGATATTACCAGATATTCAGAAACATGAATAAATTGCTGCTCTTTGGGGACAGAGCTGACAAAACTTTTTCCTTCATAGTTTTTTCAGAAAACCTTACCATAGAGTGACATTGATGCTTGACTTTGAAGATTTTCTTTCATCAAAAGGAGGAATCCCCTTTACCCTGAATCTTGAGTAGAATTTTATGAGCAACAGACTCAGAAAATAACTGAGGAGAAATGGGGGCTGAGATATAATTTCACTCCTCCACTCAACAACTA